CACACACACACACACACACACACACACACACACACACACACACACACACACACACACACACACACACACACACACACACACACACACACACACACACACACACACACACACACACACACACACACACACACACACACACACACACACACACACACACACACACACACACACACACACACACACACACACACACACACACACACACACACACACACACACACACACACACACACACACACACACACACACACACACACACACACACACACACACACACACACACACACACACACACACACACACACACACACACACACACACACACACACACACACACACACACACACACACACACACACACACACACACACACACACACACACACACACACACACACACACACACACACACACACACACACACACACACACACACACACACACACACACACACACACACACACACACACACACACACACACACACACACACACACACACACACACACACACACACACACACACACACACACACACACACACACACACACACACACACACACACACACACACACACACACACACACACACACACACACACACACACACACACACACACACAGGGTGTTCCAAAACTTCATAGATAAGAGCCAAACCACCATTAGGTGGTGATATATAATAATTTAGTAAAATTACAAATTTTTTGTAATTTATATTTATATTTTTAAATTAACAAACACGATCAATTTACAACGATATGTGGACCGCAAAATGAAATCGTTGAGGATCGATCAAAAGTGTGCGGTTAATCCTTCCATACTGATTAAATGAACTTCACTCCTTGTCACAGTTGGTTAGTAGTCCACTACGGCATCAGTATTTACCAACGATAAAACTTCGGGCAATGTGAAACTATACGCTGCCATGTATGGTCCTTGCTCTTAGCGTATCGGATGTATAAACACACATAATGACACACACTGATGTATTGATACAGTATTGATACAGAAAATATCGTTATGACAAGGAGTCAAGTTCATTTAATCAGTATGGAACATGGACGTAAAAATACATAGGCAGAGCGAAAAATGCGATTATAGATTGTGAAGCCTAAAAGATAAAAGAATTACATCGTCGCGGCCATGTTCGTATACGAGTTTTGTATCTATTTCACTGTATAATATCTTGTTATATGAACTCCATTACAATATATACAATATATACAATCACTCCTTGGGCTTCACTCCCGCAACAATTCGCTCCGTCCATGTATTCTTACGTCCATGGTATGGAAGGATTAACCGCACACTTTTAATCGATCCCTAACAATTTCACTATGCGGCCTATACATATTGTTGTAAATTGATCGTGTTCCTTGATCTATGTATGCGAGCGTATATAAAGAAATTTCGTTACTGAAGAAGGTTTAAATTAAGAATCGAAACGCTTAATACGAATATGAGTTACAAAAACTTTGTAACAGAGATATATCACTTCTCGTCAGCGAATGTTTCGTCTTTAATTTAATTTAGAATTTAGTTATATATTCTCACGTCGGAAAACTCACGTTGGAAAGAACGGTACACTCGTAGCTGGCCTGATATTTGCCTTGCTTATAAAGGCGACGTCTCGATATCTTGTCACAGTCTTGCTTGTGCTTACAGTCTTGCTTGTGCGTGTGCTCCCTTCAATTTGATTTTCACTTGGCACGAACAAGCGCGGTCCCCCTGGCAATCAGATCTCCATTTGAAGCCGATAAATTCTTATAGTAGCTTCTTATAACTCTAAAAAAATAATAGCTTCTTATTAACTTTAAAAAATAAATTTTTATAATAATACATTATGATATATATAAACGATATTATACAGCACGTATGTATAATACTTACATAGAAATTAACTCTTCACTTATATCTCCACGATTCAAAATACGTAACCTCCATGGCTTGTGACTTGTCAAACACATAACTAACGCAATGATAACCGCTCGAAATAACCGCGAGTCACATCGAGTTCGAGATTCGACAGCCAATCGGCATCGCGGAAAATAGGCAACAATGGACATGTCCATGCTTTTTTTTAGAGTGGAAAAGTGAAAAACTTTTATAGGAAACACCTCATACATATCATTGTTAACAACATATTCGATTATCTCGAAATATTTGTCACCATTCTGTACGTACTATTAATGTTTATGTGCAACGTGCATTATGTCATACATAAGAAACGTACTTCTTAAAATATTATAACGTTTCTTAGTAAAATGCTTACCTGCACATAAACATTTTTAAATTTGCAGTGTTAATATGTTTCGTTCTAAATGTTCCTTCATTTATTAAGCAAAATTTCTAAGACAAGATACAAATTGAAAATAAACATTCCAAATGTTATATGAGACTTCTTTCTAATTTTGATATTGTTATAAAATAATACTGTAATGTATCTTACACTATACTGTTTTATATTATTTTATATGTATTTTTTATACGTCACATAAAAATTAATATATATATATATATATATATATATATATATATATACAGGGTGGACCATTTTAATCCATCCAGTCGAATATGTCGAAAACCAAGCACGGGAGAGAAAAATTTTTCAGACAAAACTTGTTTGGTTTCAAGGGGACCATAAGATGGTACCATTGCTTTGACCTTGAAGAATTATTTAAAAGTCACATGAAAGTCACCTCAATTTTTTTAAACAGCATCCCCTATTTTTTATTACATATTCTTGTAGCTGACCTCGAGAGCTTTCCAAAACATTCTAATGAAATGTTTCTTCATTGAGTACTTTTCGAGTTATAAAGCTCCAAAGTTGCAATATGAAAAAATTCAAAATATCTTGTAAAGTATTCACTTTCCGTCTTATCTTACACGATTC